GGCAGAATGTACATGCTGAGGAGGAGCAGGGCAAGCTCAGACTGTTTGTTTTTAACACCATAACGCCAGCCCTTTTAAAGCATATGAGTCAGAGTTCCTGGAGATTAATAACATTCTAATTTCAGATTGGGTCCGTCACTCCAGAAATGCAGGGCCCCATTGCCACTTTTCATCAGTACTGGGGCATCATCAGCTGTCCATGTGCCAGACGCAGTCCAATCCTCTTACACGGTAACCTGTTTGATTTTCACAACGGCTGTTCTCCCACGTAGCAGTTTGGTGAATGGGCGTCCACAGCCACGTGGTTAGTAAATGGTGATCCCGTGTCAGATGCAGCGGTAGAGAGAGGAGTACACTCTCCTCCCTCTTCAGAGCCCATGCTCTTGCGCCATTCTTGGCTGGGTAAAAATGGTCTCGAGAGAAAGTGCACCTTGGTCTAAAGATTCCAAAGCACTGCACTGGGGAGTCACTGTGCATGTCACCCAGCTTGCCCCAAGGTTCCTTTGACTTGTCCCGTCCCCAGACTGTACATACCTGTGTGTCCCAGCAGGCACCTTCCATGAAGAGGCCATAGATGTAGGCCCCTTCCCGAGGAGGGCTCCGGAACTCCTCTCTGTTCTTCTTTGTCACATCGCATTGCAGGGCCATCTGGTCTAGTGGCCATTCATTCTTGCGGGCCATGGACTGCATAATGGCAGTCAGGAAAGATTGGGGGTTGAAGAAGCCTGTTAACCACACAGTTGAGGGCATCGAGAAGTCGCCTGTCCAGGCCTCCAGCTCTTTGATTCTGTTAAGCAGATCCAGAAACCAGGCTGCAAGACCTGCCGTGGAAGGGTAGGCTCGCCTGGCCCAGGGTTCTGGGACCACATCTAGGTACAGGGCATTCTGTAAGTTTTCCATCTCGCTGGTCATGGTCAGCTCCCCCTAAAGACCAAGAGTAGGACAAAGTAAGGAGGCAGATGTCTCAGGAAGCACTGACCTCTGCTCCATCAGACTGGGGCAGCACAGGTGCATGAGCTGCTGATATAGGTGGGTCTTCTATCTATCTATTGTTTCATTGGTTAATTAATAAAGAAAACTGCTTGGCCTGATAGGTCAGAATATAGGTTGGCGGGGAAGACAGAACAGAATGCTGGGAAGAAGGGAAGTGAGTTAGATGCTATAGCTCTCCTCTCCAAGATGGACACAGGTTAAGATTCTTCCGGGTAAGCCACCACCTCGTGGTGCTACACAGATTATTAGAAATGGGTTAGATCAATATGTAAGAGTTAGCCAATAAGAGGCTACAGATAATGGGACAGGCAGTGTTTGAATGAATACAGTTTCTGTGTAATTATTTCGGGTAAAGCTAGCCAGGTGGCCAGGAGCTGGGCGGGATGAAAAGCAGGCCCACCATTCCTTCTACAAGCTGCATTCCTACTGGAATTACTGCGCCTAGGTGCTGACTGCTCCCACAATAGGTCTGGCAAATTTAGCAAACTTTTTACGTGCTCACACTTCTTAAGTCCTGTTGGCTGCATTTTATGTGCCCAGTAGCTACACGTGTCCTGACAGGCATAGAGGCTTCAACACTCAGGCCATTCGATTGGATTTACTGTCGCATTCCAAGTGAGGATAAAGAAGTCAGGTGGCAGCGAAAGGGGCAGAGCAGGGCTGATCTTCAGTGGGAAGTCCCCGTTTATGAAAGGGGAAGGATGAATGTAAGCTGGCTCTCCTGGATTCCAAGAGCATTTGTGAACTCAGCATGAGTGAAGGGGCCAAGGAAAGGCAGGGGCAGAGCACAGCAGAGAGGCAGAGGATAATGAGCCTGGGTATTAAGTTGGATTCTCAGAGTACTCCCCGTAGATGGGAAGGCTACGTTTCCCAGTGATGGAAAATATAGAATGTATGCACCTTTTCCAGGGCATGTTACAAACCGTCTATGTTACAGTTTTAAAAAAAGAAAAGTTTTAAGCTGGTCGGGGTGGCACGTGCCTTTAATTTCAGCACTCAGGATGCAGAGGCAGGCAGATCTCTCTGAGTTTGAGGCCAGCCTTGTCTATAGAGTGAGTTCCAGGACAGCCAGGGCTACAAAGAGAAGCCCTGTCTCGACAAACCAAAACAACAACAGCAAAAAACTTAATGTGCCTATAATGTTACCATTTGCTTGCCAATGTGGTTAAAAGGATATATACAAAATAATAGATTATTACAAAAAAAAACAAAACAAAAAAAAAGAAACCAACGAAGTACCACAGAGCTATCAAGAAAAAGAATAAATGAGAAATGCTCATCCACGTTTGTGTAAAAAGTTTCATAACCGCAGCTGGTCTCCAACTCACATTCCTTCTGTCTCCCAAGTGCTGGGATTGCAGTTGTCCACCACCACGCCTGGGAAATGATAGGGCTAAGCTTGCTACTCCATAAAACTGTTCTGGGTCTTATCAAGTTTGAGTTTATCTATGGAAGTTATTGACTGTACGTGGGGAAGTCTTAGATTTGTTCCATACTGCAACCCCTGCAACAGGATTCATAGATCTTTAGGACACAGACTGTCGGTAGTGGTGAAGTACGATGAAAACGCCCTGGTTCTACTCTGAGGACTGTAGTGAGACAAGTTCATCCGTCCGTCCTTTGAGACTTGAGACAGCACCTGCCCTTTGCTTGTGAAGAGAAGTCCTTTGTTTCTGGTTATCAGCAATACTCTTACCAGGATTCAGTGAAGCCTGAAACCAAGTCTGAGTTTCGTTATAAGAAATGGTGTGCTTACTATTAAAATAAGTGTCATGGTCTAGGGAAATAACTTAACTTAGTTGGCAAAAATGTTTGCCAGGCAAGCATGAGGACCTGAGATCTATCCTCCAGATTCCCTGCAAAATAAACAAAACAAAACAAAACAAACAAAACCCAAAACCGGTCAGGCATGATGGTAGGTGCCTTTTAGTCCCAGTGCTGAGGAGAGGGAGAGCTCACTGGCCATCTAGCCCTGTCTAATTGGTAAGTTCCAGGTCAATGAGTGACCCAGATAAGATGGATGGCTCCTAAGGAACAACACCATTCATGGTTGACCTGTGGTCTCCATATGCATGTGTGTATGTACCCCCTCCACCCACATAAACAGACCTCCCTGACAGATGTGAACAGCGGCGAAACTATGCACCATGTACCTATGATTGTGGCTTTGTGCTTAGATGTATTTGTCCAAACCCATAGGAAGGGCAACACTACGAGAGATCCCCAAGCAAACTGTGGACTCTGGTGTGTCACTGCATTCGTCAGTTGTAATAAATGTAAACTTTGGGGGGTGCTAGGAGTATTTTGTGTGGTGGGGCTGGCCGGATGTGAATCTGTAATTGCTATGCACTTAAATACTATGCTAGTAAACTAAGGTCTATTTTTTTTTTAAATGCAAACTTAATTTAGAACCTTTCAGAAATCTAAACTCCCTTTGACAGCCAATAAACATAAAATATGTAACTTAATTCCCTTACATTTTTCTCACATCCGCTTGTAATATCATTTGCAATGACTAACCGAATGCACAAGCAAGAGAAACGGAAAGAATGTACTGCCTCCTAGGCTTCCCCACTTTACTGCAGAAGCAAGAACCACCGAGGAAGCAGAGCCGCCTTGTAGTTTGGTTTCTGAATGCAGGCATTTTCATTCCCTTGAGTAGAAGCAGAAAGGGTTGGTCTTTTAAGTAGCTGGAGGCAACAGTGTCCTTCCTGGATTCACCAAGTGTACCTGCGTTACCTTCTGAGGCCTAGGGGAATACAGCACTGGCGGTCTCCATGCCAGCCTGTCCTAAGATTTTGCCAGATGGACATAGAGGGATAGGTAGAGTCTATGGTCAAACTCTGGACACCAGCCCCCCCCCACTTTAAAAATATTCTTCATCTTTTTAATTTTGTGTGCAAATGTGTCTAAGTTTGTACTACTGCTGAGGCCGAAAGGTGTTAGCTTCTCTGGTACGGTAGTTATAGCCTGCCAGAGGCGCTGAGACCCAAACTGGGGTCCTCTGCAGAGCAGCATGTGCTCTTCAGGATGAGCCTGCAGCAACCCTTATTCCAGCTTTTCTTAAAAATTATACAATGAAGAAAATGGTTTCCTAATTTCCTGGCCTGGATCTGAGCAGCACTGTTAATATCTAAGCCCGCCTGCTCACAGGGTGGGTCAGCGAAAAGAAAACTTACAAATCTGACTCTTCCATCTATTTAGCAGCCTTGTGTGCCAGGGCCAAGGGACACACTTCAGTCCGTGTAGCACCTTTCCCAGGTACGAAGGCTGCTTGTCTGTGACCTTACCCATTTGATCCATCCATCCCACATAAGCGCCTTCACAACTTTCTTTTAGTGCAGTAGAATGGAAACCTGATTTTTCCTATAGGCCTTTATTCCTTTGAGTCACAATGTGTTAGAAGCTAGATTCATAGGCTGCGGTTAGTCCAAAGCCAAGAAAGAGGGCATAGAGACCAGAAACTTCCCTTTGGAAGGTCATCAGTAGCCAGGCTGTGGTCACATGGTAACAGCAGCATTCAGCCCACAGAGGACAGGCTGGGGATAACACTCCCTTGAGGGCTTCATGCCACACCCTATGCTGAGGGTCAGGGTCAGACCATTCTTCTCAGGAAAATGCTTTTTGTAACTATCTTTCTCCGACCTTATGCTGGGGCTTGAATCTGATGCCTTCATCATTCTAGGTAAGCACTACCACTGAACTACTCCAACCCTTAGTGGTGGAAAACAGTTTCACTACATAGTTAAGGCTGGTCTGGAATTTGTAATTTCACCTCCCAAGAGCACGGGATTGCTGGCATTCGTGCATGCACACACACACACACACACACACACACACACACACACACACACACATACATTTATGTATACACACACACGCACATGCACACACACACATTTATATATATACACACGCACATGCACACACACACATTTATGTATATATACACACACACACACATTTATGTATATATACACGCACACGCGCACACACACACACACATTTATGTATATACACACACACACACATTTATGTATATATACACACACACGCACATGCACACACACACACACATCATTACCCTGGCACTAGTTTTCATTAATATAAATCACCAGGAAGTAGAATAAGAGTCCCATATCTTCCATAGTGGCTAACTCATTTTAGTCTCTGGTAGAGAACAAGGTAGCCAAAGGTATCAGCCCTGGGTAGATGCTGAATGGGTGATGATTCAGAGGACCAGAACATGATGCCCCTTACAGTTTGATCTGAAGGTCAACATAGTGAGCAGGCTCAAGATCCAGAGCCAGCCTTTGCATCTGAACATTTCACGAATTTAGAAAAACTAAAGCATAGTGGAAAAAGCCAAGGCCATCCATCATTTGAATAACGAGAAGTTCCAGATGTGCCCAGATGTCAGGCTAGCCAAATGAAATGGGACCCAGGGGGGCTCTGAGGTTTTCTGCCAGCTGCGTTTCAAAGCACGAAACAGGTAAGTTTAATTTCTCTAATGTTTCTTGTAATGCAGTATACCAAATATTTGAATATACAATCAATGTAAATTATTAATGACATTTTGTAGTTTTTGGTCTTCGTTCTTTGAAATTTGATGCGTCATTTACATTAGTGTCTGCTGTACTGGACAAGTCTAAAAACTTGGATTTTCCTGTTTTCCCCTGTAGGAAGAGAATCTGCTAAATAATCTATTGTATGTGTTTCTTTGAAAATTACAAAGAGTGGGAAAAAGATGAACCACCATTTAAGAATTTTGTAGATAAGGCTTTTGTGCATCTGGCTAATGAGAATGAGAACACCTAGGGAGGCCAAGAGCCAGATGTCTAACAGTGGTGAGTTCCCGAGAGAAATCCTCTTTGTGGACCACGTCTGTGGCCGGCTGGCTTTCCCCCAGATTTCGTCCCTACCCACATTCTGTGTGCTTTGAGACGCTCCAGGCTTACAGGCTGTATCTGGCAGCTCAGCTAGGACTTTCTGGGCATGTGGTTTTTACAGTCAGTCAGTTCATTTTTATCACAAAGGCTAAGAGTGTTTGGCTAATGACTCAAAGGGTTAGGCGTTTGTAACTCTGGTGCCTTGGTGGCTTATGGCTTGTCTTATGTGCTGGGGGGTTGGAGATGGCCTCTTTTTCCTACACCAAACCAGCAGCAGCCTTGAGTGGGGACATGACTGCTGAAGAGAAGCAAAGGACAAAGGGGAAAGGTCAGCAGATCACCTAAGACCCCCCCCCCCCAAGCCTGGAAGCCGACTTCCCCAGTGGCCCATCTAGCAGGTGCTGGTGTGCTCTATGTCCTGGCAGCCTCCTGTTGTAGCTGCTGCTTTTCCTGCTCTGAACTCTGCGTCCTTTTGCCTGGGGGACATTCTCTGCTTTTCGTCTTTCATGCTGTGCTTTAGAAGCTTCACTCACTCCCAGGGTCCTCTGGCACTGCTTACAGACTTCACCTTGAAGTCATCATGGAGGACAGTAGGACCGGTGGACGGAGATAGAGATGTAAGAATGTGTTGAGAGTCTGATGACCAGGCTACCCGGGACTGTCCTCATGAAACTGTTTCCTTGAGAGGATTCTGTTTGGATACTACCCTCTAGGTCATGCAGGCTGCTCACTACTTCTAGGTCATTATATCACCTTCTAGAAGGTCACCTTACTTACACTATTCTTTGTCTAGGTGAACTCCTGGAGCAGGCTCTGGGTCCTCTGCTCTGATCCTTAGCAGCCCTGTCCTTTTGTCCCCAACTGTCCCTATCTATCTTTCCTCAAAGGTTTCTCTGTGCCACCTACCCTGATCTCACGGTCTTTACCTGCTTCCCCCTCTAGCCTGTTTATGAACCCCACCTTCCATCAGGCTATCCAGGCAGGGAAGACTCCTCTTCAGCATCTCTGTATCCTTCCCCACAGAGCCCATCAATCAACATTGTGGGAACTAGACTGAAAGGAGTGAAACTCCATACTGCTTCTCTGTCTCTGCACAGGCATTCTCCATGATTGACTACACAGAGCCACAGTGAAGGTTCTTAGAAGAAAAATGAGGGAACAAATTGGAAGTCGAATGGGTAAATAGCCTGCTCCAAATTGCATGGCGTCAATAAGTTATGACTGCAGCAAACCTATTCAAGATAATTGCTGTTGTATACCTACTTCCCCAGGACTGGAGATGCAAAATATGACAGGCAAGGGCCTGGTGTACATTTGAGATTGCTGTGGAATTTTGCATTTATCTGATTATATGCTGGCACGGAGCTTTAAAGCCATCAAACACCGCCTGTCCCCAATAGCCTGGGCATTCCCATTTCATCTGCTATATTATTTCCCTCTGTTCACATTGTGCATGTGTGGGGGGGTTGGAGATTGGAGATTAAAAGAAAAAAATTAAAACAGCCGTAGATTTTGTGCTACTTGGTACTTTTTTTAGGTGTCTATGTGTAGAAAATTTAGTTGTTTTTTTACACACACGACCGTGATTTTGTAACCCCATGAAGCACCAGCGGAATCCAGACTTGACTTTTGGGGGCCTAGCTGAGTGTTCACTGTCAGCTACAAGGCCATTTTTTTTTTTTTTTCGATAATAGACATCTAAGACACTGGGGGTCAAACTCAGGACCTTGTGTATGCTGGCCAAGCTCTATCTTTGAGCTGTTCTGCCTGCCAGAGATGATAACTCTTTTACTAAAGATGCCACTTGTAGAAGACCCACTGAATAGGGACCGAGCACTATGCTTATTCTTTCAGATGTCCCCAGGGCTAGACTCCGGCTTCTGTGAAGCGACACCTTTCAAGCATTTAGATGGCTTCAGAACAGTTGCCCTTCAGCTCTCAGGCCCCTGGTGTCTGTCACTGTGTCCCTGTGGGTTGCAGCCATGTCCTCTCACAACGTTTCTCTTGCTCACCTGTAAACCGAGGTGCAGCTCTCTTAGTGAGCGCCGGATCTCTCTGGTGAGGATGTTCATGCGCTCACACTCCTGGAAGGCAACTACAATGTAGGGGGTGCGTTCCTCCACCTTGGCCATGAGCTCTGGGATGTTAAACTCATCGGTCACCCGATCCAGTATTTCTTCCAGAAGGGCCTTGACCTGTTCCCATGGTAGAAAATATGGGGTTAAGGAGGGACTCCATGGAAATGCATGCCTGGTATGGTAAATCTGGGCAATAACCCTATGGTTGGGGCCTCACAAGCTCCGGGGATATTAGGCTTCTACCTTTATTAATCAGCTAAATGGACATAGTATCAAACTGCCTTCTAAATCCATAGTTCTTTACCTATAGATTAGTGTAGCTCTTCGGCCTCAGCACAGAAGCTGCTCTGTGCAGGAGATGAGGGTTAGCAGAGAAACTGAAAAACCAGTCAAAGTTCCGAGGATAAGGGACCGTGGAGAGCTTAGTCACACATGGGCCATCTGTATCACTGCAGGGACCAGGGCCATTGCAGGATCGGGGGCAGGAAGACTGTAATAGCCAGAAGCTGGTGAGGACCTGAGCAAAGCAACGTCAGGACATGATAGGACTGTTATATTTTTAAACTCAATAGCAGCTGTCGTTGTTGCAAAAGATTAAGGGAGTCAGCTCCCACCCCTGAGTTGATTATTGAAGAAAAAAAAAAAGACATGGATTGAGGGTGTATGGAGATGAGAGTTTTGAATCTGGAGTTAGGGGAAGAAATAGGGGGTGAATATGATCAAAATACATTGTCTGGAATTCTCAAAAATTAAAGTTGTTTTTTTTTTTTTAAATGAAGGGATTCCATCCTCCTGTAATGGACACTAAATGACAGTCACCAATCACCTGCTGCCCCTCCTCTCATCACACTCCAATTTGCTTGCTTAAGTCAGCTAGGCCAGGTTTGAGAAGTGACCTCAGGACACTTCTCTCCAGAGGCTCTGTGACTTGTGTCACCAGCTTAAAAAAGAGAAACACACCTTTCTAAGAATTGAGGTTGAAAAACTCAGAGGCTGACCCAGTTAGCCACAGGAACTAAAGTGGAAAGCCATAAGACTCTGACCTAAGATGCCCCTTGTAGGTCACACAGGCTGCAGTGATGAGCACCTGTAACGTGTGTGTGTGTGTGTGTGTGTGTGTGTGTGTGTGTGCCCTTGCACACATCCACAGCCTTCCAAGTCAGTGGTTCCCATTTCCTAGGTCCAACAAACCATGCATCAAAAACCAAACATGCCTTGTCATTAGTCCATAAACAGTATAACTGCTTGCACAACTTTAGACATTATAACTAATCTAGGGGAGATTTAAGGTATATGAAATGGATGGGTTGTATCTCAGTAAAGTACTTGCCTAGCATGTATGAAGCCCAGCACTGTATAAAAGTATACCAGAGGATGCGTGTAACTTATATGTAGATACTAAGCCATCAACATAAAAGGCATTTGACACTTTGGTATCCACAGGGAGGGGTGTGGCTATTGAGGGGACTCCCCCCTTCCCTCTATTCTATATTTCCAGGAGGTTTTCTATGTGGTTTTCTATTTGTGAAAGAGGCCTGACCATCTATCACGTAAACTCCCACAATCCCTTTTCCCACACTATCTATCAGCTTATTAGACCAGGGGAGCCAGAATAACCTGGATTTCTCTACTAGAAAATTGGAACTGAGGTACAGAGATTGTGGGTTATCTGGGGGCAAGCACTTTGGAGGCTGAGTCTGCCATTTTTGGAGTAAATGAGTAAACCCAGGAGGTTTGGTAGCAGAGAAAGACAAATGAAGCTGGGCATACATAATAGCCATATGGGCAGCAGAGTAGCCGAGAAGGAACTGGAAAGTGGGAGCAGGTGAGCGAGCGCCAGCCCTTCCATGTCCTAAGAACTGAGCTCCAGAGGCTTGCACCTGCCTGGGCTTTGTCGGCTCTGACATCTCCATCCCTTCCTCCAACAGCAGGCCTCTAGCTCCTTCGAGAAATTATTTCCTCTTCATCTTTCTGGACACAGTCATCCACCCAAGCATCTCCTTGCTCAGTTCTCATGGGATGCAAGCAAGTCAGTTAGATCTCAGGTTTTCATCCATAAACATATCCTCTAGAGTCTTGACTGGCTCCCCTCCCCCCAACTCCCAGGGTTGACTTGAAGATCAAATCAAATGAGCTGATGGATGTCACAGCATCTGAAAGCTTTACAGGACTATATAAATGTAAAGGGTGATTAATATTCACCTTGCCTTGAATTGCTAACACACGATCCATTCCCCAGGAAAAGAGCTGATGGTAGAAAAAAAAGAAACCAAGAGCCTATCACCCCGTGCCAAATGGGTCTCTGGTTGCTGTCAGAGCAAAAAGTAGAAGAGAATCTTAATGGTACCTGAAAGCTGCTGCCAGGGCTGAAGACAAACGGCTAAGTTTATATTATATTTCTGTCTCTGGAGTGGGATTGAAGAAACAGTTCTGTATCAGTGAGCGGCCATTTGGCGATGACTCACAAAGAGATGAAAAGATGGTCGGGAGGCATTGCTCCAAAATACAGGAGGATGGGGACACAGAGTTCTTTCCTGCCTCTCATCAGGTCAGAAGGGGTTTGGAGGCCTGAGGAGGAGCTGGACACAGACAAAGGAGGACTCTCTTGTGCTCAGGGAGCCCCAGGGGTCCTTCAGAGGGGATAGGTGGGTTCCAAGGGATTAGGTCTACCTCATTTCCATAAGCCAACACCTTTGCTTTTTCTTCTCTTTGGGAAAGTAGATACACATTTACCAGAAATATCAAGAAAAACACCTTCTAGAATCTTCTCTTCTTATAAGTAGGAAAATACTGTCAAGCTGCCAATATTTGACTGGATCGTGCAGATTTCCTTCAATGTACAGAACACTTTGTCTTTTCAGTCATCAGCCAGCCAGTCACATTCACTTGACAATTGTCATTTATGCATTTATCAACTCACCCACCCACCACCATGCCCATCAGTCTCTCTCCCTTTCTCTACACACACATGTACATATACATATACATCTATCTTTCTTTCTTTGTCTTCTAATCTTTTTCTCCCCCTCAGTATTGGGGACTGAACCAGGGTCTTATGCATGCTAGTCAAGCACTCTACCACTGAGCTACAGAGCTGTCCCTAGAGATCTTTTATTTATTTACTTATTGAGACAGTATCTCACTTTGTAGCCCTGGCTGTCCTGAAACTTGCTATGAAGACCAGGCTGGCCTTGAACTCACTGAGACCTGCCTCCTGAGTGCTGGGATTAAAGGCGTGCGCCACCACTGCCCAGCTATTTTACTTTTCTAAAACGAAATCAAACTATCTTTTTTCACTTTACATATCAATCCAGCTCCCACTCCCTCCCCTCCTCCTGCACTTAATTTGTAAGCCATCTCTCTAGGTCTTAGAGAAATTCAACCCATCACAAGTGGCAATCTTTGTGTTCCTAGATTTTGAGGTCTCTGCGAGTACCTTCATAAAGAGACTCCTACAACAGGTCAGACAATGCATTTGTGATTGTCCTGTTTTGCATTTAAATATGTGAGAAATTTAAGCTATACTTTCATCAAAGTATGAGGAATCTGGTTTACTTTTCTCCAAATGGCTTTTTTCAGTCCCAATAAATCATATCCTTGAGCATCAAACTGCTTCATCACTGCAGACGAGAGAAAGGCTTGCACCCCAGAACACTACTGGAGGAGACCACTGCTCTGGCTGATCAGAGTCCCCTCTAGGTTCGGATGTTGAACCCCAGTCTTCAGTATCTCAGAATATAACTGGATTTGAACGCAGACCTTTATAGAGGAAATTATGTGGTAATGGAGGAACCTTTAATGTTGGCCCCAATCCAATCTTATTAGTGAAGAAGAGGAGGTTTGGGCACACACAAGAAAGGAAACAAGGCCACATGAGGACACAGTTGAGGAAGTGGCCGCTGCAAGAAAGAAGTGATGCCTCAGAGACAGTCACACCTACTGTACCTTAATGGGGACTCTAGTTTTTGTAGGTATATGAGGACAGGGCTTTCTTTGTGTAAGTTACCCAGGTAGTGGAGTTTCGTTATAGTGGTCTTAGCAGAGGATGTACAGGATGCCCTCCTCCTGGCTATTAGCAGATCTGTTTGCCCAAAATGGTCAAGAGCAAGCAGCAGTTCTAGGCCAGGTTGGCCAGTGAGCCCACAGCGTCCTCAGAGAAACCCACTTGGGTTAAAGTATGGTGGACACTGTTTGTCTCCTCCCCAGTCTTCCCAACCCTTGCCCTTCCTCCTTCTTTCAGATTCACAGCAGCTAGCCACATGAACTCCAGCTTGCCCTCACGGAGGTGAAAAAATATCTGTAGACTTGGGTCAAGGTTTCAAAAATATGGGTGAAAAGGTGAGCTCTGGCTTTGACTCTCCTGACCTGCAGAGAACACAAGAACCAAGTGCAAAACAATTCCGTGGCTGAGTAGTGGGACAAGGCATGAT